GCCCTAGCCGGTTGAGCTATAGGTGCCGAGCCAGTTTTTCTGTTTTTAGTAGAGATTGGGTCCTTGCTCTTGCTCAGGCTGTCAAAAAAATCTCTTTTATCTTTTTTTGCTTTCATAATTCTCACTTTGTCTTTGACTTTTGACTTTTTTTTTTTTTTGCAATAGAGTATCACTCTGTCACCCTAGCTATATAGTTCCATGAAATCATAACAGCTCACAACAACCTCAAACTCTTGGACTTAAGAGATCCTCTTGCCTTAGCCTCCCAAGTAGCTGGCACTGTAGGTGCCTGCTATTATCACTGGCTAGTTTTTACTACTTTTAGTAGAGTTGGGGGTCTTACTGTTGCTCAGGCTGGTCTCAAACTCCTGAGCTCCAGCAATCCACCTGCTTCTGCTTCCCAGATTGCTATGATTATGGGTGTGAGCCACCACACTTGGCCTTGGATTTTGACATTTTAATTATAATGTTTCCTGGTACAAAATTGTTAAGGTTTTTCTAGCTTTAATTACTTTGACATTTGTGAAGCTGGTTATCAGTATTCTTTTGCTAGATTTGGAGAGTATTGAGCTGTTATATATATATATTGAGCATCTCACTTTGGTTGCCCTAGGGTTGAGGGCCATTGCATCATCATAACTCATAGTAACCTCAAGCTTTTGGGCTCATGCAATCCTCATGCCTCAGGCTCCCAAGTAGCTGAAACTACAGGAACTGCCTCAACACCCAGCTAATTTTTCTATTTTAGTAGAGACAGGGTCTCACTTCTGCTCAGGTTGATCTTGAACTCCTGAACTCAGGCAATCACCCAGCCTTGGCCTCCCAGAGTTAATTAGGATTACCTTTTTTTTTTTTTAATTTTCTCTGTTTCAGAAAATCCTAGAATGCTTATATATCTTTTCATTTTATAGAGTGTTATAGGGCTCATATGCTTTCTTCACATTTTTTCTCTTCTAATTGGCTATTTTAAAATGACCTATCTTTGGGTTTACTGTGTTTTTTTTGTTTTTTTGTTTTTTTTTTAGGCGGAGCCTCAAGCTATCCCCCTGGGTAGAGTGCTATGGCATCACAGCTCACAGCAACCTCCAACTCCTGGGCTCAGGCGAGTCTCCTG